TGGAACATGATCTTTACTTAATATCCTAATGATTTTTGGCATAAAAGAAAAATCGATAATTTTGACCCATACAATGTTATTTTGGCTATTGCTGCAAATATACCCCAGCGACTTGAGACTGGTTTTGTGGTCCAGGGTCACAAATATTATTTTAAATTGCAATAATATTTCACAGAATGTTTTTTTTTATTTTTGTATTTTTAATCAAATAAATGCAGCCTTGATGAGCATAAGAAACTTCTTTCAAAAACATTAAAAATCTTACTGATCCCAAACCTTTGAACGGCACTCACAACATTTTTTTAAGATCATGTGACACTGAAGAGTAATGATGCTGAAAATTCAGCTGCGCATCACAGGAATAAATTACATCTTAAAATACTGTATATTCAAATAGAAAACACTTATTTTAAACTAATAATATTTCACAATTTTACTAATTTCACTGTGTTTTAGATCAAATAAATGCAGCCTTGATGAGCATAAGAAACTTCTTTCAAAAACATTAAAAATCTTACTGATCCCAAACCTTTGAACGGCACTCACAACATTTTTTTGTAAATTAGTGTTTTTTTTTTAAGCCATTTTCATAAATGATATTGCTCTAACTCTCTGCAATGGTCTGTGTTGTTCTTATAGAGGGATATGATCCAGAAAGTGTGCACGTGTGCTCTGTCACTAATGGTTTATTTGGTGATCTACACCGCCTGCCCTACGGAGCGCGTCATCAACGACACCTTTATGGCCTCTAACCCTTTCTACATCCAGGTCTTGTACCTCTATGGCAAGAATTTTGAATGGTTTTGAACAATTTTGAAAATGCTCACCGTGGCTGCATTTATTTGATCAAAAATACAGTAAAAACAGTAATATTGTGAAATATCATTACAAATTCAAATCAATCTTTTCCATTTTCATATATTTTAAAATGCCATTTATTCAATTTTATAATTGAATATTTTATGACAAAGCTGAATTTACTCCAGTCTTTAGTGTAATGCAGATCTTGCTTAATAAAAGTATGGATTTATAAAAACAAAACAAAACAAAATAATACTAAAATAAATAAATAAAAATACTCACCCAAACTTTTCAATGCTACTGTATGGCTGTATAGTATTAACAAGAATTCTCTTCCATATAAATTATTGTTATTATTCAGTTGTTATTATTATAAACCTTATTAATCTGAAAATGAAGGCAATTTATTTAAAATAGGATCATTTATGTTTGAAATGTTACATTTTACTGTCAAAGTCCTTTTTTGAGCTTTTAAAGTCATACAATTTCCTCTTTTTCAGGTAAGACACAATGTGAGGCAACACTTCCTGGGCTCCGCCACGCTCAAGCTCATGTATGACGTGATCACGTGGTTCAGCACACAGATGGCCATTTGTTACACTGTTGTGCCATTTGTACTGCTGGCAGTGGGGCCTTCACTAAAGTTTTATAGGTCAGTAATGCATTTGCACCAATATGTGAGAATTCCAGGGCAGGTCCATTACAGATTCCCCTCCACTGACTGACGATCAATATGCAACAGGCTCCTCCAGATTGTTTATGAGCGAGCTCCGGTGATAAAACATTAATAAAGAAGTGAAACGCTTTAAAGAGCAGGTCAGAAAGTCATCGTAAACGCAGCTGTTGCCGAGAGTTATTAGCGGAAGACGTGAAGCTGACAGGTAAAAATGAGAGGCTGATTTGATCTCCGCTCGCCGCAGTCTCGCCTCATTCATTAGACGGCTTTACAGGCCCGAGTCTGGTGACACTTTATGAGCTGGCAGAGGACCATTTATTTCACAGCTTCTGCTGAGATAAAAGAAATCTATGATGGTCATTTGTTGGAGCAGTGCTGTTAAATGTGTCTGCCTGAAGAACACATAAAGCATTTTCATTAAAGAGAGAGAATTAGGCTGGGGGATTGGTGATCGGCTGCTGCGGATCAGATTGAAGGCTGTGGGAGCTCAACCCAGGAAAGAGTAAATTATGTTCAGGTGAAGAGGACCTCAGTACATCTCAGTGAGAACAACACTGTGTTGGAAAGATATGGAGAGATGGCTGAATGGATAAACATCTGAGACCTGAGAACCCCAAAACATAGATTTCGTCTTAATACTGTACTCACAAATGTTTTCAAATTTATAAAACAAATCTTTTTAATGTATTATTATATTATATTATGTTATATTATATTATATTATATTTCTTATGTTATGTTTATTTATTTATTTAGTTAGTTAGTTAGTTAGTTAGTCATTTATCAGACGCTTTTATCCAAAGCGACTTACAAAGGCCACACGATGCATTATCTTCTTTATCCGAGTTATACTTTATTTGCTTCTTTAAATAAAACTAAAACTTAATAAAAGACCTATACAGACATAATAAATTCAGACATAATTGAACTAAAATTAAAATAAATAACAAATACAAATAATACAAATCAAACGACAGTAGTTTATCAGTAATCCTAAAAAAGAATACTGCCAAACACACGTGCTAAAAAACAACAACTTACTAACACATAGTAAGAAATGGTTATAAAAACTGAAACAGAAGCGAAACAATAGGAAAGAGGAGAAATAAAAAGCGATACTTATCTATGTTATGTTATGTTATGTTATGTGACTCTGGACCACAAAACTAGTCTTAAGTCGCATGGGTATATTTGTAGCAATACCCAAAAATACATTTTATGGGTCAAAATTGTCGATTTTTTTTAATGCCAAAAATCATTAGGACATTAAGTAAAGATCATGTTCCATGAAGATATTTTGTAAATTTCCCACCATAAATATATCAAAACTTAATTTTTGATTAGTAATATGCATAGCTAAGGACTTCATTTGGACAACTTTAAAGGCGATTTTCTCAATATATATATATTTTTTTGCACCCTCAGATTCCAGATTTTCAAATAGTTGTATCTCGACCAAATAGTGTCCTATCCTAACAAATCTTATTTATTCAGCTTTCAGATGATGTATAAATCTCAATTTCAAAAAAATTGACTCTAATTACTGGTTTTGTGGTCCAGGGCCACATATTATATTATTGGCAACACTTCAGTTTAAGGACCAATTCTCACTATTAACCAGTTGCTTATTTTTATTTATTTATTAGTACTTTAAGCAGATATTGATGCCTCATTCTGCATGTCCATATTTCACATCCCATATTTCTACCCCATGCCTAAACTTAACTACTTTATGAACTATTAATATGCAGCAAATTAGGAGTTTGAGGCAAAAGTTGTAGTTTTAGCTACTAGTTAATTGTGAGAATTGATCCCCAAAATAAAGTGTGACCATATTGTTTATAATATATGTGTAGTATATTATTTTACTAAATTATACTTCCCCAGGGTTTGGAAGATTGCATAACTTTTCCCCATAAATGTCTTCTCCCAAAAATATCCATGTAACAACACATTTTTAAAAAATATTATTCTTTGTTATTTATATTATCATACAGACACTCAGTATACATTTTGCAGTGCTATAAACGTAACATGTCAATGCAGTTAATTTATTCTAAAATGTCTATGAATGTTTAATTTATTGTAAAATGATGCCGTAAATGTATTGTAAAATGTCTATAAAGGTTGTCTATCAATAAGATTTTATACTGCTAAAAATCATTTTATTTCATCAATCGTTATAATTGTTTGTTTTTTAAATAACTAAACATCCTACAATAAGACAAATTAATTTGAGAAGCAATATTAAGACATCTGAAAATGCATCTTAAATATAATTGTATTTTCTGATTGTTTTAAACATTAACCTAAATTTTACACTGCTAAAAATTATTTCAGCAATGATTATAATTTTTTTTTCCTGAAAAAAAACCTAAACATCCTACAAGACAAATTAATCTGTGAAGCAAAACTGATGCTAAGACATCAGAGAGTGCATCTTAAATATAATTGTGTTTTTGACTATCTATCTATCCATCTATCTATCTATCTATCTATCCATCTATCTATCCATCCATCCATCCATCCATCCATCTATATCTATCCATCTATATCCATCCATCCATCCATCCATCCATCCATCTATATCTATCAATCTATCATCCATCCATCCATCTATATCTATCCATCTATCTATCATCCATCCATCCATCCATCCATCCATCTATATCTATCCATCTATCTATCCATCCATCTATATCCATCCATCCATCGATCCATCCATCCATCTATATCTATCCATCTATCTATCATCCATCCATCCATCTATATCTATCTATCATCCATCCATCCATCCATCCATCCATCCATCCATCCATCCATCCATCCATATCTATCTATCTATCCGTCTGTCTATCATCTATCTATCCATCCATCTATCCATCCATCTATATCTATCGATCTATCTATCATCTATCTATCCATCCATCCATCCATCCATCCATCCATCATCTATATCTATCCATCTATCTATCTATCCATCTATCTATCCATCTATATCCATCCATCCGTCCGTCCGTCCGTCTGTCCATAAGAGTTCCGACAAATGGCAAAATCACATAACTACAGTAAAGTTCCTAATGTGCTGTCATTTGCTCTCTTCAGCTCGTGGTACTGCTGCATTCACCTGCTCTGCGTCTTGCTGGTGCTGGTTTTACCCGTGAAGTCCAGACGCACGAAACAACAGGCCAGTGAGCACAACTGTCTCTCCTCTCCTGACAACAACTGCAACCAGAAGCAGAAAGCCACATGAGGGCAGGAAGGGCTGCTCGACCCGCACACAGCGCTGTGAGGAACTCTGATATCAATACTGAGAGACACAGAGCGGCCATTTCCTCCCTGAGATCCAACGACACTGACAGAGACATAAACTCCAGCAACAATACAGCGAAAAGAGACCGTTAGTCGCCCTGTTGGAGATGGGTTTTAAACAGGAAATCTTCATAGGATCATATGAAATTGGGTGATTGATTATTAAAATGGTGAATAATTGATTTCATTGCCAGTTAATCTGAAGTTGCCTTAAACACTCCATATATTTAGGGCCTGAAGCCTCGTATGGGGATCGTGTTACATAGGAACGGACCAGTCATTGTTGGCTTATTGATTCACTACATTAGTGCAGGAAGTCTAGCACTGGAATCAACTTCTACGGTACCTAGAAGGTTTCTGCCATTGTCAGTTTAACAAAGTAACCTCTCTTTTAGTTCTTCTCAAAGGAAATGTGTGTGGTAAATGGTAAGAAACCAGTTGCGTGTTGCCAAACTTATAGGCCTTAGGTTCCTATCTCTTGCCTTTGTTTCATCTTTATTCTTTCTTAATTTCTGTGGGTTTCTAGTAGGTTCATATCTGCTGCTTTCTTTCTCAGCCTTTGTCAACATCTTTGGAACAAGGGTCAACCGTAAGAGTGTGTTGTCATTTGGAAAATTTTTGCTATAATTTTTCAGTTATTTTTGTTTATTATTATTATTATTTTTTTTATTTTGGTTGGATTAAGGGTTATATTAATGCTCTTTTTTTAATGGGTTGTAGGTTTCCTCAGGGCGCACAGTTCTTGTTTTAGACCATTTTAGATTTTCCTCTAACATCTGTGTTTCTCCCGCTACATAGAGCCCATCTGGAGAAAACAGAAGACAGTTCAATAATATTCAATACCACAGCTTGTTTGTGTTTTTATGTTACAGACAGATATGGTAAGTGCAATAACTATATTGTTTCCTTAGGTGCATGTTAATGGAAAAAGCTTTGCAAATAGTGCTAATGCTCTTATCACATCAACAATAGTCAGAATTTTGTAGTGGTTCAGTATTTAAGTACATTACCAGCAAAAAGTTGGGACAAATCAGATTTGTAAAGGTGTATGCTTGAAATGAGTAAATATGATTATAAATTGTGCCAACATAGTAATTCCTTAAAACTAAAATATGTAGTTTTAATAAGTGTTTTTTATTTATCTTTTTTGTCCATCTTATTTGTTTTTTTTATCCATCTTTTTTTTCTTTGTTTTGTTTTATTTTGTTATGTTTCTTTGTTTAGTTTTGCGTTGTTTTGTTGTGTTGTTTTTGTTTTTTGTTCTGTCTTGTTTTGTGATTTGTTTTTTTTGTTTGTTTGTTTGTTTTGCCTCACAGTGTTGGAAAAGCAGCCAACAGCAGTGCTCAGCATGCTTGGGAACTACATAATTCCCATATTTCCATTTGATATTTTATAGTTTTGACGACTGTATTATTCTAAAATGTGGAAAACGGTAATAATAAAGTCTTGACTTTTTACTGGTAGTGTACTGTACATGCAGTAATCAGATACATGCAGTTTTAACTTTTATTTAATATCTTTTTTTTTCCCATGAATACATCAATACTCTTGGGCCCTAAAGAAACCTGCAAGTTGTGTGATTTCATATAAGAATGTTTCTTCAACTTTGATCTTCCAGAAGGCCTCAGAGAGACTTGCTTATTTGATTCAAGTGTCTGGAAAATCAGACCTCATCATATTCCCCCGAATCTACTTTTTGATATGTGTAATTATGTTGATCCATTATCAAACCATTCAACCAAACGTTTTATCCCTTGTTCAAAGCGACTCTACATGTTAGTTTTTTTTTGGTTTTGTTTTCATTTGGTAGTGAAGGGGTGAAGGGACTAAAGCATTAACCAAAGTGAGTCTCACTGGATTTGTGTAACTAAGCAAGTTCAGTAACAAGAAAAACATATTCTTGGGCGTGAAGTTGACCAGCCTCCATTTGGAGAAAACGCTCTGAACCAGCCCCCTGTGGTTTCGTAAGCACACTTCTCTAAAGTCTTATTGTATTGAATTACCATGGTGAATTACAGCCCTGTACCAACAGTTTTAGTTACTGCAAAACCAATAAGAAGCAACTCTGCTGGAAACATCCAGATATATACTGTATAATTTCTCTTTTTGGCCTTTTTGTCTTTTTCATAAAGGTTTTGCTTAATGAATTGTTTTAACTGCCCAAAGGCAATATGTCCCACAGTAACCAGTGTACTAACTAGCACCTCGATGCAAAACTTGTTTCAAATGTCCAAAGTGCCAAATCACACGAGGTGCACAAAAAGATCACGTTATTTGTACAGGTTTACAACAGGGCGAGAGGTTTGTACTTTAAAAAAAAAAAGTCATTTATTTGGTCTTCAGCTGACATTATTTTTACCTACTGAGATTTTGGGATGAATTATTTTTCACTCCCTCCCTATTTGCACTTTTGTTAGGAATGAGTCGGGGTAGAGCTAACTTAGACAAACTGCCGAAGCAATGCAAGAAACCTCAGTGCTACTCAACAGTTAGAGTATGTGCTTAATGGATTAATTTGCCCAAAATATTAAATTCATTGTAGCAGCAAAGAAGAATCAGGATGGTGTTCCAGTGTTATAGGGATATATTGTAAACAGGCTTCATCCATAGAAAGATGTTAAATGTGTGTTCATTGCTGTTTATGTGTAAACATTGTCCCTTTGTTCAGATAATGTTCAGCTAAATACAGCCTAACATCTTCTTGTTAAAGGTCCCATATTGTCAAAACTGAAAACAGCTGTCGTCGGTTTTTTGTCTGGCAGTGGCAGCAGATATGCGATCAAATTTCTAATTTGAGGCTGTATTACGTCGATTCTGGCACCCAACATCACAACAAGATGATATTTTAAGCTCCTTATGTAGCCGAATCTGCGTTGGTTTGAATGGGCCGCCTCCAGTTTCCCCTTTGTTTTGCTGCCTCCAGCTAGCACTGTGATGTCCGCTGACCCTAGTCACCTGTGGTTGGCCTGGCGTGTGTCACTCAGAAAACAACAGGCCAATCAGAAGAGAGGCTCATGGATATTAATTAGACAGACCAAAATCGACCTGTTCTCAGCAGAGCTCCTGAGAAAGGAGCTGTAAAAATATATTGAGATGGTTTTTGGTACTTATACTGCAAATATATATTCTTAAGGACATCAAAACCTCAAATAAAACTCCAGAAAGGTGTACAATATGGGACCTTTAAGGCCCAAGCAATAGTGAAGGCACATTTTTTAGGCCTTATTTATCTGTAACATTTTGGTTCAGTCATCATTTATTTCAATACCATCTCCAACTACTGATTCTACAAAGAATGACCCAAAGCTGTGTGAAACTGTGTTGACTACTGTAAGTTTTTTTTTTTAATTATTATTAATATAGTGCATTTGTTGTCCATCAGCCACCTCAGTTCTGTTGTTTGTCATTGTCTTGTTGGTCTTTAATGGTTATTCAAAATAAGTGATTGTGGCCCTTAGTGAACAAGCAAACCCCCTTAACTGGTTGCTAAAGCTTTCCAGATATTGCACAGAATCATTTAACTTTTCCATTGTAATTCCTGCTGACTGGTTGTGATGTTGCATAACCTGGCAGTGTACAGCAAAACTAATGAAATTGTAATACGTTTGTGAAGAGATACAGAAATAAGTATTACCTAATATGTTAAGCTACTTCAGTATATATCAGTTCACCAATATACATTATTAAACACAAGGTTGTCTGTGCAAATGTACTTGGATTGAGAACTGTCCAGAGGAGAACAAACACAGTCTCTTTTTATTTTCTGTAATAATCATAAACTGAGATGTGATACTTACCCAGCATTTGAATTGTTTGACAAACTGAGTGCTCTGAAGTTGTACCAAGCCAAACGATTTTTACTTTGAATAAATGGTTTGACATTAAAAATGAATACCACTACCATGATGATCGTCTCAAAACAAATAAACCATATTTTCCTTCCCTGTATTCATCGAAGTGTTTTTGGTTTTCCTATGGGTAATGCAACAATGGTTTACCACAGAGATATGGCACTGAATGAATTAAAAATCCATACAATAATGTCATTTCAAACGATAGATAGATAGCTAGATATTCAATATTTTGTTAATGCATATAAGTCAAATGAGAAACAGATATAAAACAGGTAACTACAGTCTGTCAAAACATGGGCGTGACCTTGTCCTGTACTGGGCGTGGTTTGCGCAATGTGGGTGTGGTCATGTGTAATTAATTTTAATTTCATCCACACCCCTGTTCACACAAAATGGCTGTGCTGTAACGCAAGACTGCCTCCAGACAGAAAGGTTATGGAAAGCAACAAAGTTATGTGAATTATATCGGATTACTTTGGACCTTGTTTTTCTCTGGGAGGGAGATGTAAGTTACAAGTTTCCAACTGGAATTATGTAAACAAACTGACGTGTTTTTTATTAAGACGTGAATTCATGTCAATTTGTCATTTTCACGTAAGTCAAAGTAAGTTTTTAATTCTTTTAAAAGAAGGTTAAAAGTAGCTTTGAGACACTGTTAGTGTGTTAAAAGGGAGAACAGTGGACATACACAGTTGAGCTCCAGCTGTCAGGACACGTGCTCTTCCTTAACTCCAGCAGCAGCTTTTGTTGCGCACATGTAACTTATTAAGGTCTGTTTGTAAACACGTGTGCATGAGCAGTTGTATTTTTTTCTTTTCCAATGCTGCTGTCTTTTACAGCTACAATTAGGTATGGTATGATACTCTTTACACCTTTAATACGGTGGGCAAATACGTTTGAGCTGCTTTCAGAAGTTATTTTTTACGGAGCTGGTGTGAACTTGTTTACCACTGTTCATTTGTGCCACACTATGGAAACCGATCCATAGAGCAGTGATTCCCAAACCAGATGTAACTCAACCGCAGGGAACGCAGGGGGTGCTTAGAAAAAATTACATTTTGCTGTGTTAAACCTATATATAAATGTTTAAACCGAGATTAAATCAAAATAATCATGTGTGAACATTTTTTTTAAGTGACTTTGATATTATTAGTACTATTGCTATATGAAATCTAGTATATTGTGATTTAAAACTAACAATTTCTATTTTTCTGTTGATGATATTAATCTACACAACCCAATAAGACAAAAATATCTATGGTGGGTCTGCAATCCCAGTACTATAGGGTACAGGTATTGTTTGATCTCAGAACAAAATTCAATTTCTGACCATTTAGATCGTAAAACTGATATTATTATTAAACTATTATTATTGTTGTTGTTGTTGTTTTTTTATTGTTGTTGTTGTTGTTAATAGATTTATAACAGACACCAAAAGAGACACCAAAAACTCAAAACCAAATATTTTTAAATTAGTTGTGATATCAGTTATGCGACATTTAAACAAATATAATCTATCATATTGCAAAGTAAATGTTATAATATGTATAATAATAAATATATTATATATTTAATTAATTGCGGTTGATTAATCTGCTTTGAATCAATTGTAGTAAAATAAATCAAAATATAACACATGTTCTATTTATCTGTGTAACCAATATTTTTCTTTAAAAAAAAAACCCAATATTTTTCTAAATCAAATAAAAACAAATTAAAAATCAGTTCTGAATTTCATTTTTTTTTGGACATTTCATCAAAAATAATGTTGTTATTCATATTGCAAGATATTCATATTTCCAAGTAAACATTTTAAATTGACTATACTTACATTATTTAAGGCCAGTCAGTTTTACTGAAAAAAAAAAAAAATAAGTACTTAATTTCAGACATCCATGCACACACTCTTGTCTCTCTATAAGGGATTGTTGGCTTTAAAAAGTTTGAAGATCATATCTATTATAAGAACTCCATTAACATATTACTATATTTAGAGATTGGTGTAGTGCTGTTTGCTTCACTCTAATGGGAAATCCATATGTGCTTCCAGCCCAGTGACCTTTCACAAACATTTATAAAGAACTTTTTGTTTATTTAGTTAGTTATAAGTACACTACTTATCAAAGACTTGTACACTAATACAAACCCTTTATCGAAGGCGTGTCTCATGTGGGCTGGACCCTTCAGGAGGCTTCAATAATAACGTCAGATTTCATTAATATTAATGAGTGAAGCTCTGCTGTAGTAGGATTCACAGCACATGTGTGCATTGGGCATCACTCCAAAGAGAGGCGGGGTCTCACACTTCCTTCTGCATTATTCATGAGCTCCTGGAGTGACAGGCAGAGCCCTGGCTGGCTTGTTAGTACACAGTCTGAGTGACAGCGTGAGTGGAGTATCAACAGTAAAAGGATAGACAGGCTTTTGAAACCCAACTCACAGGGAACACTCTGGCTTAAGGTGAGTCAGCAGACTAATGAGTGTGAAGAATGATGTTATTGTAAATGGATTGTATATGGATTATCTGTTATGAACGGGTTATCTTCACTGGTCTTTGTGTGCTGTGTATTGGGGCTGGGAGAGGGGGTGAACCTTGCTCGGTCAACATTTGGCTGAGGGTCTCTGTGATTGGCTGTCTCCATTGTGTGATCTCTCTGGAGGGCTGCTGGGATGCTTTCAAGGGTGTGTCAGCAGTTCAGAGATGAACAAAGGCTGATTGAAGCGGATGTCTTGCATTACTGGATCTGTCACCTTTATCTCTGCTTTAAGATATTTAAGTTTATGGATAAGACTTGTATCTGTTGTAACTGAGTGGATTTTGGGCACTGGGGCCCCGCTGGTTGGCATGTTGTCAGCTGGAAGCAGCTTTTGGTGACTGGCTTTCATATTTGAAGGGTTGTTCTGGGCTGCTGAGTTGGCAAAATGGCCCTGGAAAAAAAGTACTTGCATTTGGCCTTGTTTACGTTGTTTGAAAGCATCATTATAGTGTTTTATGTGCGTATTATAGTACAGTTTAACAGTTAAATCTGTCTAAATTACTGGCCCTGAAAAGTATTTGGACACAAATGCTTAAAATATATGAATGTCTTTGCTTTATATAGTAACATATATCAAACCTAGTATCATTATTATTGTTATTTTGAAGACAGATGACAAAAGCATGCTTTTTAAAGCAAAACAGTTCACAAAAAGATATATTTTTTGTTAGGGTTTCAAGTATAAGACATTACATTAACCATTTGAAATGAAGACAAAAGTGTGTCATTGTCAAACATCAGTGGATCATGTTCTTGGTTTATTGTGCTGAACTACACCTGTGGTTACTCGGACAGGACACCTGTGTGAACTGGAGGACAACCGACTTCATACATCCACTAAAATGTAAAAAATTGTAAAAATGGATCAGAAATGTAAAATTAGTTGCGAGTAAATGTTTTGCATCATTTAGTGTTTGTGTGGCTGTGTAACAGTTTATGCATAATGTGATTTAGGCCTAATTCACTTCTGATAAAGGGTCTGGCAAATGCAAATCCTTTTTTGTTGTTGTTTGCAGATGTCACATGGGTTTATATTTAATTTTGAATGCAGTGACATTCATACAGTTTTAAGACACACTATTTGTGTATCAAAATTATTAATAGTTTTGAGGTTAAATTATTTAATTTATAATTCAGTTTTGTGTTGGCTGTTAAAAGTTGATGTTGATTTATTAATGGGGGATTTGTGTACATAGTCAATAATTGTTATGGTAGAACATTTTACTTTAAAGTGAAATATTAAAAGTTAGATCTTTGGGGTAAGATGACTCCCTCAAATCTAGTTTGTGTGAGAGTTTTTATTTAATTTAATAGTCATTATAAATCACGTTTTTAAAAAAATAATTAAATGAATTAGATGCAAATTATTATAAATTTTTTTGTTTCATTATTTGGAATATATAGTGTAATTCAGATGCATCTCTGACTGTAATTCTGTTTTTTCTTTCCTGTCATTATTCAGTTATTCAAGTAAATTAGCAAAATGCATGAATATTTGAAAATTAAAAATGCATAAATATATGATTTAATATTTTAAATGAATAGCGTCTTCTCTATGGTACCCTACTTTTTGGATCTATTCTTTAAACACACGATTCCAAATGTGACTTTTTGACAAAAAGTGAAGTTTGATGAGTGAGCACAAATTCTTCCATATAAGTGTGCTTGTTGTGTTTAATGAATGGACTTGGACTACAGTGTGCATTTCTGAGGCCAAGCTTAAGCCTTCTTAGTTTGCTTAAAATGCTTTTCCTTTTAAGGACCATTAAAAAGATTGAACTATTCCTTCAGAGTAACAACTCAGTATAAACCTTGGAAAGAGGCTGTTTTGTGTGTGTGTGTGTGTGTGTGTGGGCAGCATTGCATCGATAATCACCCCAAAGTATATTGGTGTAGTTCCTGTTTATTGCTCAGACAGCATTAGAGGCTTTTAACTTCACATCATGAGGCTTTATCCTAATCGATATTGATAAGGTAGTCGCCTACTGTCTGTTCAGTTAGCATAGGGTTCATCATTAACTCAACGGTTTGTGCAATCCAGCAAGACTGGGCTTGTTACTGTCTGTCTTGTTATTCCACATCAGTAGTTCTGCTTCAGGAGGAGAAGCCAGGCTTTTGTAATGGCTGAACTGAGGAGAGTTTCATTTAATGATGTATCTCTCTTGCTCTCTTCCACGTTCTCCAGTGGAGTTCATAACACAGCCATGGACGTGAGCACCTCTCTGAAGATGAGCTCTCTGACCACCCAGAGTCTCTTCAGCTATGTGGAGGAGGAAAACCTTTCGGCCATCAAAGCTCATCTGGACAAGTACAGAGAGGTGGACACCAGAAGTGAAGTGAGTGTGCAGGAACCCTTAAAGCATTATTCTGTGTTGTTTTCAGCTTAGGAGTTCATTCATACTGCATATTGATTTTCTTAAAATCTGATCTTTAGGACTGGCTGTGTGCATTGTCATTTTTCAAGTGTTGAAATCAGATTTGTTTGTTGTAGCGTTTTAGATTTATTTTAAGGTATAATACTCGTTATTAACAAACCATTAACTATGACTATTGCCTCAGTAAACTCATAATTTTGCTGCTTATTAATAGTTAGTAAGGTAGCTGTTAAGTTTAGGTATTGGGTAGGATTAGGCATGTAGAATATGGTCATGCAGAATCCCTATACTAAAGTGTTACCGCACTTTATATATCTAAATTTGTTTCGCCATGCTGAACTCAGACGTATCAGATATAAAGCATTAGAGGCATTACTGTGCTCTTTACGCATGAATGCATACTGTGTCCAAAACCACTCGATTGTTTGCTCATTCATCATACATTATGTAGTAAATGAATGAAATGAAGTGAATTTAATATGAATGAATGAAAATGAGTGAATTCAAACACAAGTAGACACTATAATGTGCTTTGTGTTGAATGATGAGCGTAAAAAATTGTTATTGTGATTTTGCCTAAATAAATTGCAATTGAAAAAATGGCAATTGCCGTTTAAACTGTACTTATAATCAGTACATTTTAAATGGTAATTGCCATTTTTTATTTAAAAAAAAAAAAAATTATAAATGTGTGTGTACGGTGTATATACTGTATATATTTATATATGGTTCGAAGACGAGACGTCCCATTGTTGTATCTGCATCAAATAACATTTACAAAAGGGATTTTATATACATAAAAAGCATATTAAATGCAAGTAAAGTGTGTACTTGAATGTTTCAAATAACTGTTGTGAAAAGTGAAAATAAAATATGGGTGAAATAATATTTAATTGTCATTCAGCATATATTTATGTAAAAATAAAACATACATATTCTGACCTGTATTGTTTAAAGTATATAAAAGAAAAAGTGATCATACTGAATTTTATTATGTTAAATGATTAAAACATCTTGCTGACAATATACATATTCTGACCTGTATTTATGAAAATATATAAAGAAGTGTTCATACTGAATGTTTATATGTTACATGTCTTGCTGATGACTAGGAAAAACCTAGTGGGGTGAAGGATAGTGGCAAAGATTGGTAAAGTAAAATTTTAAATGACAATGAATTAGTATTTTAGGGCTGCACTGTGATCCTTAAATAGAATCTATTTATGGCATTATCTAATGATTCTTTTTCAAAATATGCCTGACAAGATTTTTTGGTATATGAACTATTGTTACACTGAATATTTTAGTGAGGTCTTCTGTAAATCATGGGAAATATATATGATAGTCATTATTTTTTTCTCAGAAAAAAAAAAATAGTATTACACATTCTAATGTATGGGGGAAAAATCTGCATTAAACTTTACATTTTTTGATGCTTAAAACCTCATTTTCAGTAGAACCTTCATTTTTGACCCCCCAAAAAACTTGGTTTGTGATGCTACACGATTTAGTCAAAAACATATTGTGATTATATATCAACATGAGTATTAAAAAAATAGTTATAATGTAAGAATATAAATATAAAAATGTATATATGCATGTAAATATTTCCAAAATATATGCTGTATTTGAGTGTATGTATATATACATAATAAATATAAGTGTATGTATATATATATAATAAATATACACAGTACACACGCACATATATATTATGTAAACAAAAACTTTTATTTTGGATGCCATTAATTGAGATTAATCGTTTGACAGCACTAATTATTAATGAAATAAAAACTATGATTATTACTATTAAATAAAAATGATCAAAACAAGAAATATATTACTGTTGTAATACAATTACTGTAAAATAAATATTGAGCTTTTATTAAAAAAGTGATTATACTGTACAAAAATTTTTTTTTGAGAATTGTCTTTTTCTGTGTAGAAGAGTTCCTGGTTATGTGTTCTAGAGCCCTTTGAATGAAGGTTGCTAATAATTTATGAACACCAAGTGAAAGCAACCAGATTTTATTTTTTTTAACTGGTTTGAGTTTGGATGTTTGAACACTACACAGAGAGTTGTAAAATCGGTTCTGTCACACCACTATCATGATGTGTGTAATGCTTAAGCATTATGGTTAAACTGTGGAAACTGTGTATTTACTGTAAATATGTTTCTCGTTCATTTATACACACTGAGGAACAAGTTGCAACTATTGTCTTTGGTAACTGACAGCATGCTGCTCATGCGGTACATAAACATTACGTTGAAACTTATTCTGAATATTTCTTTTAAATTTGCTTCCCCATCACTGATATGTACTAACTTATTGTCTTCTGCTGTAGAACGGCCAGACTGCTCTCATGCTGGCCTCAGAGCAGGGCAGTCTAGAGATCGTGCAGGAGCTCATCCGGAGGGGAGCAAATGTCAGCTTGGATGATATTGTGAGTAGCTCTTCAAAACCCGTGCAGCAGAGCGACACAACATGAGATATCCTAGCCTGAAATGTTATCATGCGGCAAAACATAGCCTAGCACTAGGTTTTGGAACAGGATGATATGATTTTCACCAAGCAGTGACTATGAGTCACACATCAGTCCTGCGTCACTCTTTTACAAAAGGGTCAATGACAAACAAGGATGTCTTAGATGTTTAAAAGGAAAAATCTAGTTTGTTATTAAAAATATCTGTCTGTCTGTCTGTCTGTCTGTCTGTCTGTCTGTCTGTCTGTCTGTCTGTCTGTCTGTCTGTCTGTCTGTCTGTCTGTCTGTCTGTCTGTCTGTCTGTCTGTCTGTCTGTCTGTCTGTCATCTCATGATTGTTTTGAATCTTTAACTTTTATTTTGGTAGTTTTTAATGTCTTTATTATTTCTGTAGTCCTTGTTGGTATCTCTGTCTGCTTTGGTAGACTGCAGTTCTTCAGCCAGATGTATGATTTCATTGGTGTGGGTGGGACGTAGAATCGAAATAATTGGTACCCTGTACTGTCATTTTATAAATGACTAGATGACGAGGTTTACAGGCACAAACACTTGGAGCTTCTCACACCAGCAGATACATAGTATAGTATATAACCTTTCTGGTGACCGTTGAAGAACCTTCACAATGACCACCTGGTATGACCAGCTGGTATGATCTGAAACTCCACAAACAACATCCAAACACAAGATCTTTAGCTCTTCCTGGGATGATGATGATGTCCATGAAATTAAACAAGGGTGTTTTCTTCCCCCACTTGTCTCAGGATTGCTGGACAGCACTGATTTCAGCTGCTAAAGAGGGACACACTGAAGTGGTGAAGGAACTCCTGGAGAACAATGCCAATGTGGAGCATCGTGATATGGTAAGACACAGATTAAAGACATGAGCTGCCATACAGCAGGTAGTTACGCTTAAATCAACAATTGTTCTTGAATTTATCATTGTAGATGATGGAACGTTCTTCTTTACTGCCTTAAATTGTTTTAGGTTTTTAATTTTCAGTTTGGCAGTATGTTATGTGTCAAAATCAAGGCTGTCAATCAATTAAACTAAAAAAAAATATATATATATATTTTTGTGTGTGTGTATGCGTGTGTGTGTGTGCAATATAAAAAGTACAAATATAAATTGAATTTGTGTATTATTATATTAATTTATTTATTATGTATTTTGTAAATTTGTTTCTGCAATAATTATTCACACTAAATGCTAAATTCAAAGCCCTAGTCTTGAAATTATGTATCCTCAACCATCCTATTTGGGTTCATTTAATTCCTACCTTGCTGGAACATGTGATATGTGATACTCTGTTTTTAAGATCAGCAGTTCTGTCTAGTTCTTGGATATATGGTGTCTTGCTGTGGTCATGTATAATCTATGACAGCTGTGAGCTGCCTTTTTAGATTTTTGGGCGCATTTAAACATTGAAAATGGAATGTCTGAACGTGTTTGTGTTGCCCATAAATGCCGTCTGGGTAGCAGCTAAAGCTTATAATAACAAATAAGGAAGATGAGAGACAGCCGATAGCTTGAGTCACTCCCTGACTCAGGGAAAATGTGTTTATCCACACAGTCCTGTGACCGTGAGATTACTCTAAGGACCATCACGTGGGAATATAATGACCTCGGTATGTTTGTGTGCAGGGGGGCTGGAGCGCGCTCATGTGGGCCTCTTATAAGATGAGAGACAGCCGATAGCTTGAGTCACTCCCTGACTCAGGGAAAATGTGTTTATCCACACAGTCCTGTGACCGTGAGATTACTCTAAGGACCATCACGTGGGAATATAATGACCTCGGTATGTTTGTGTGCAGGGGGGCTGGAGTGCGCTCATGTGGGCCGCTTATAAGGGTCGTGTGGAGGTGGCACGTCTACTGCTGGAGAAGGGGGCAAACCCAAACATCACCGGACAGGTCTGCAGAGCCTTTTCCTGTTCTATGTACAAGCATTTATTGTACATTAGAAACTCTGTTTGAGGTGTAGGTGAAAATGGCCCTGCTTCATCTCAAGGTTTGAGTGTTTTCTGCGGTGTGTAATTGATTTGTGTCTGTCCCAGTAGTACAGTGTTTACCCCATAATATGGGCAGCAGGAAGAGGCCATGCAGAGATCGTTCAGCTGCTGCTTCAGCATGGAGCCAAAGTCAACTGCTCTGACAAGGTACCTTATCAGTCCCATCTCAAAGAACGCTGAGCTTTCACTAGAATCGTAAACACTGGTGGTGAACTAAAAAGCCTGAGTCAACAGTTTCCACAAGAGACCAATATATAATATACACTACCGTTCAAAATTTGGGGTCAGTATGATTTTTTTTTTTCAGCAAGGACATATCACATTAAAATGATAAAAAGTGCCTTCCAAGGTTTCTATTTCAGATAAATGCTGTTCTTCTGAACTTTCTATTCATCAAAGAACCCTGTCAAAAAAAGTTTCCACAAAAACAGTGAGGAGTACATTGAACTGTTTTCAACACTGATAATTAGAAGAAATGTTTCTTGAGCACCAAATCAGCATATTAGAATGATTTTTGAAGGATCATGTGACACAGAAGACTGGGGTAATAATGCTGATTTCATCACAAGAACAAATTACATTGCATATTAAAATAGATGTTATTTTAAATTGTAAAAATATTTCACAGTATTAATGTTTTTAAATGTGTTTGTAATCAAATGAATGAGACTTCTTTCAAAAACATAAAACATTTTTTTACTGACCACAACCTTTTGAACTGAAGTGTAAATAAGTAATTGCAAAAAGAAAGTAGAAAAAAATAGCAAATCTTACTAAAATCACTGTAATACATGGTCTATAGAGGTTTATTATTTAGTTTAGTTTATTTTTTTTGAATATAATGTCATAAACCCGCAGATTGCTTTTATGGATTACTATAATTTGAATTAAAGGTATAGTTCACCCAACAATGTCACATGGACTATGTCCTTACTACCTTTCTGGGCCTTGAATGTGGTAGTTGCATTGCTATCTATGGATGGTCAGAAAGCTCTTGGATTTCATCAAAAATATCTTAATTTGTGTTCTGAAGTTGAACGAAGGTCTTGCAGGTTCGGAATGACATGAGGGTGAGTAATTAATGACACAATTTTCATTTTTGGGTGAAATATTCCTTTATCAGTTATTATGCCAAGCAGTGTAGTTCATTTGCTTATCCACTGGCTGTTTATGGTTACTAAGCAAGATTAACAATCAAAGATCGGGATTCTATGAACGGTTGCACTTTATTTTACAGTATGCACACTTATCTGTACTTACAGTGTACCTAACTAAGAAAGTACTAGATAATATAAGGTAACTATATGGGTTAGGGGTAGGTTCAGGGTTGGTACCTAGTTATTACCCAGTTTTTGTCATTACTAAAACAAGTACTATAGTATGCACATGCGAAGCAGGACTGTAAAATAAAGTGCTATCCTATGTGAATAAGCACCACATTCATAATTCATTAATGGAGACATTAGTAATTACACTGGAGTTTTTGTCTGTCGTTGTCAGTATGGCACCACACCCCTGATCTGGGCAGCCAGGAAGGGCCATTATGACTGTGTGATGCATCTGCTGGAGAACGGCGCCAATGTGGACCAGGAGGGAGCGGTACACACTTTTTTTTGTTAAACTATTGTGCTTATTATATTGTGAGTTCTGAAAGGCTTTGTCCAAATTCCCATTTTTCAGATGCACTAAATATGCTGATGCAATAAAGTCACTAAATTGAACACTTAAAAGACTATGTTACAGAATAATGCCCCAGTATGATCTCTCTCCTGTAGAACTCGATGACTGCGCTCATAGTGGCCGTGCGAGGTGGTTTCACTGAGGTGGGGAAGGAGCTGCTAAAGAGAAACCCCAACATGAATATGACTGATAAAGACGGAAACACTGCGCTGATGATCGCTGCTATAGAGGGCTACACTGAGATTGTCCAAGACCTGCTGGACGCGGGCACGTACGTCAACATCCCTGATCGGGTAAGGCTTCTCATGCATAGCTTATTTAACCTTGATTGTTAGTATTTAAGGAATCTTGAAATTCCCATTAATCTTGTTTGTGTTTTTGTGTCTCAGAGTGGTGATACTGTGCTTATCGGAGCCGTCAGAGGAGGTCATGTGGAGATCGTCCGAGCTTTGCTTAATAAATATGCTGATATTGATGTCAAAGGCCAGGTAACTGCATCTCCACCACACTGCTAGCTCTCCATTTCAGTCTCCTAAATCCATCAGCACACTGTCCCGAATGCTCATCTATACAGAACGGCCTCTTTGTTTTGATGCCCTTTTCACCTCATATTAGAATCCTGTTATTAATCCCCATGTGATTAAGGAAGTAGATGTCACTGTGACTCTGTGTTATTTAATTCTTTATTATAGGATGGTAAGACTGCCCTGTACTGGGCTGTGGAGAAAAGTAATGCAACCATGGTTCGAGACATTCTGCAGTGCAACCCTGACACTGAGGCCTACACCAAGGTAATTTATTTTTTTTAATGTTTTTGAAAGAAGTGTCTTAAACAAATGTTAACCAAAGCTGCATTATTTGGTCAAAAATACATTAAAAACTGTGATATTGTGAAATGTTATTACAATTTAAATAAATGTTATAGAATGAATAAATGAATGAACCTAAACTTTTGAACGGTAGTGTGTGTGTGTATATTTACTCACTAACTTCTGCATTTGAATGTTCTCTAAAAATATAATGTTATCTTCTCAGAAAGGTGACACAGCTCTGCATATTGCCATTCGTGGGAGAAGCCGCAAACTCGCTGAGCTGCTCTTGAGGAACCCTAAAGATGGTCGTCTGCTCTACAGACATTCTGCAGTGCAACCCTGACACTGAGGCCTACACCAAGGTAAAGAGCTGATTTTCATTGGATTTTGCCTTGTAATCCTATATGAAACTCATCATTATGATTGTAATACTTGTTTACGGTAGTGAAAGATGTTTACATACATATGCTTTGTGTGTGTTAATGTGTCAGGATGGAGAGACTCCCCTCATAAAAGCTACCAAGATGAGAAACATGGAAATAGTTGAGCTTCTTTTGGACAAAGGTGCCAAAGTGTCAGCAGTGGACAAGGTAAAACCATGAAGTTTTTCTGAACATTTTCTGATTGACATGTCTTTATTATTGTCTTAATACAGACACCATTGAAGGCCAAATACCTGGTATATATATATATTTTTATATATGTAATTGACTGCACTCACCAGAAGAGCATCCTCACCCAGATATTTGGAGCCAGTGAGTATTTCTTCAAACAGACCTTGTTTGCACAGTAACATGTCTGTCTCCAATACTTCTGATGTGTTCCTCCCCAGAGCACCTGTCTCCCTCTGAGTGTGACGGGGACATGCTGGGTTATGACCTGTACAGCAGCGCTCTAGCAGACATCCTGAGTGAGCCCACCATGCAGCCGCCCATCTGTGTGGGGCTTTACGCCCAGTGGGGCAGCGGCAAGTCCTTCCTGCTAAAGAAACTAGAGGGTATGAGCCAGAAATGACTATTGAAAATCTGGAGGGCCTTATTGGATCTGAATGAGATCTGATGGTGTTTTCACTGTTTCAGATGAGATGAAGACGTTCGCCGGGCAGCAGGTGGAGCCGTTGTTCCAGTTCTCGTGGTTGGTGGTGGTTTTGACTCTGCTGCTCTGTGGATCTGTGGCTCTGGTCCTCGGCTTTGCTGTCGACACTAAACTGGCCATCGCTGTGGCCCTCAGCCTGCTCGCCCTATTGTACATCTTCTTTGGTGAGAAATTGTCAAATTTACTGTCATGCCTCTGATTACAGGCCAAGTGTTAAAAAAGGAGTATAGTTCCCTTGGAACCATAGCGCAACATATAACAGAGAAGGACAATGGCAACTTTAGACTTTATAGTAAACCGCAATAATACAGTAAATAAAAAACATGTAAACTACAAGTCAGTAATAAATCACAACGATAAATACGATAAAAAATAATAAAAACGATAAATACAAAGTAAAAAACCGGAATTACAGTAAGCAATACCTGCAAAGAATATTGTATGCAAACAATAATAACAGTATTAATAAATAATTATACTATTCATTGCTGTAGATATGATGTTTTTTCATATTTTTGAATATGATATATATTACTATTAATCATTTTATTTTTTAAATAATAATAATAATAATAATAATAATAATAATTGTTGTTCTTACAAAAACTGCAAATAATGAAATTGTTAATAATTTTAATAATAAATAATGATATTATTGAAATAATAATAATAATAGTAATAATAACCGTTGTTCTTACAAAAAATGCATATAATGAAATAGTAATAAAATTTATAATAAATAATTATATATTGGAATAATAATAATAGTAATAATAACCGTTGTTCTTACAAAAAATGCATATAATGAAATTGTAATAAAATTTATAATAAATAATTATATATTGAAATAATAATAATAGTACTAATTATTATTGTTATTATTATTATTATTACAAAAAATGTCAAATCATGAATGCATGAAATATGTTATATAAGTGTCTAGTCAGTGCCTATAAAATAATTGTAGTGCAGGAAAGATTGTGCTGAGGTAGAGAAATAAAAAATTAAAGTCAGGGATTTGAACAGAGATTTGAACCCTAATTATCAAAATAATATTTATTATTTAGTTACATTTATGGGGATTTTGTATTTATATATGCCTTATACCCTTGATTATCATTATTCATCTCATTACTATTGTAATTATGGACACTAAAAAGTTTAAGATTCAGATTAGTATTCAACCAGTGCAGGCTTTTTATTGATGATTCATATTACATTTTGTCCCACTTGCTCTGTAATAATGTGAGTTCATCTTTGGTTACCAAAGATTTGGTTACCAGAGTGCAGCATTGTACTTCAGAATCTCATGCATTGCCTGTTCTACGGTTATCTTGTTGTACATTCTCACAAACTTCTGGTTCAGTTCATATCAAAAAGTGCACCATCTCAGTCTCCTGTGTTTTTGAATGGTGTATGCAGTGTTGGTGTACTTTGGTGGGAGAAAAGGAGGGGAGAGTTGGAGCTGGACCTGGGTCCTCAGCACCAGACTGGCCCGCCACATCGGCTACTTGGAGCTTCTTCTCAAACTCATGTTCGTCAATCCCCCCGAGCTTCCAGAGCAGACCACCAAAGCCCTGCCTGTCAGGTAGAGCCCTCAGAATACTGCACCCTTCACCAAACACATCCAGCTACTTTACACTGATGTTTAATGGGTTTTTATTCTTATGCAAAGTTGAAATAAAATAAGATAAAGATGTAAACTGTATAAAGATGTAATCTACTTCGCCTAATGCTTTGGAGGCAAGATAAATGTATGCTGTGAACATTCTCTTCATGACATTATTAGATTACCTACACATTCTGTTGAAACACGCACATGTGTGATGCTCATTTTAAGTCAGTCTTTTTTTGTTCTCCATCTGTCCAGGTTTCTGTTCACAGACTATAACCGTCTGTCGAGTGTGGGAGGGGAGACGTCCATGGCTGAAATGATAGCTACGCTGTCCGATGCCTGTGAGAGAGAGTTTGGCTTCTTGGCCACCAGACTTTTTAGGGTCTTCAAGAATGATGAAACTCAAGGTGTGTTTGTCGAATATGCAGTATGAACCTTGATAACAGAAAAGTATTGAAAAACATACTCAGTGCTTTTAATTAGTTAACTCTTGCCTTTCTGAATTGTTTTATACAACAATAAAAAACACAAGACTCTCTGTTACAGCGATTTCTATCATGGTAAAGGTTAGGCATAATGTAAAGCAGAGTTTGTCTTAAAGGGGTCATAGGATGCTACATGCGCTTTTACAAGTTGTTTGAACTGAAAATGTACAGAACTTTAAAAAACCCATCACATCATGTAAATAAGTTGTCACAGAATAAGAATATGTGAATAACTACATTTTGGCAAAAATGTCAGATAGAACCTTATCATTCGAAGGGGACCATACTTTTATAGTACTTCCTAATATTTTGAATTGGCTTTTATTTTTATATTTTAAATATGTTTTATATATATATATATATATATATATCATATATTTTTATTATTTTTGTATATTTTAATTTGAGTATACATTTTAATAATTTTATGCATTTGTGTAATTTTTATTAGTTTTTGTTTTGAATATTTCTATTTTCTGTTTATTCTTATCCCAATTTTAGTGTAAGTTATTTTAGTACTTTGATTTTAAACTTAGTTTATTTTAGTTCGTATTTATTTTAGTTATTTTATTTGTATTTTTCTGTGTTTTAGTTATTTTTTTTTCTTAAACCCCTTAACTGTGGTAAAATAACCTTTTAAATAAATGTATTTTTCATAAGTATTTATTTATCTTACTTTTTTTGTTTGTGAACATAAAACATCTGACTGGAAACTTGTATCATAGTTTCACCTACAGTATAGTGAAATCCCATTTGGTCAAAAACTGTACTCTACATAGCTCTATATTAAACATCAAAAAATGGTCAATAATTATTCTATTAATAATAAATGGCATTTGTATAACATTTAATAATAGTATTATTTATTATTAATGTCATTACAGGTGTATATACTGTATATATCAGGTGTTTTATCATGGCTTCAAATGCAGCTCATCCAGTCACATTTTAGACTGTTTTGTTAGTATTTAACTTCAACCTGTCTTTTTTTTTTACAGGAAAGAAGTGGAAGAAGACATGTTGCGTCCCCTCCTTCGTGCTCTTTGTGTTGACGTCGGGCTGTCTGATCACAGGCATGGCCCTGCTGGCCATCTTCAAGGTGGACGCAGAGAACCTGACGGTGAACACGGTTCTGATCGCCATGGCCAGTGTGGTGGGTCTGGCCGTGCTGCTGAACTGTCGGACCTGGTGGCAGGTGGCGGACTCTGTGCTGCACTCTCAGAGGAGGAGGCTCCTTAACGCTGCCAACAGCATGCATAAGCTCAAGAGTGAGGGATTCATGAAGGTGAGCCAGTGATACTAATATAATATGTAATGTGCTTAGTTATAGTCATCACTATTACATTTATTTTCATTTAGCAGGTATTTTCTTATGCAAAGTGACTAACTCTGTGGCCTAACTAGGCAAGTCTTGAAGAGATGGATTTGGATGGTAATGTCCTCTAGAGCTGCACGATTAATCGTTAAAAGATCGGGATCTTATTTCTAAATGACAACGATTCCTCTGTGTCTATTGAGTCTTTGAAAAAGTCTTACCAGAACATTCAAATCCGTGTTCGTGCTGCCGCTGACACAGAGAGAGCAGTTATCATGTTTAGGTATGAAACAGCTTCACAAACAACTTTTTTCAACCACACAGTACTATTTCTGTCTTATTATCATTCATATAATCACAGAAGTACCGGGAAAAAAAGTTTATAGTTCGGATATAAACACTGTGAACAAAATGGAGTAAATCATCTTTTGAAAGTAGTTTTTGCTTCAAATTGGTTTTAAATAACGCTTTAAATAACTTTTGTTTTTTACAGTGTTGATTACATTTTAGGTGGCGACAAGTGACTGTTAAAAATGCATTTATCATTGACAGTGTTGGGCAAGTTACTCTGAAAATGTAATCAAATTACTGATTACTGATTACTCCTTTTAAAAGTAATCACGTTACTGTTCTGATTACTTTATTTCAAAAGTAATTAGTAATTAGTTACATTACTAGTTACGTTACTTTTTTCTCCATGAAATGTATGAAATCCCAGCATACATGCTCCCGATAAATATTTGTTATTAAAGCATCAACATTCACAGAACACTGTTATTTTTAACTAAAGCAAGCGGCTGCTGCGTGCATGGTTTGGCATGGCAGAATGCTAGCAAAGAGCGCTGCATTTATAATCTCTAAAAGACATCTCAGTTCATCGCAATCTCACAAATCTCTGTTATAACACAATAAATATATGCATAATGGATCTTTCATAATGTCTACAATTCATGTGTTATAATGAGAGGATTAATGAGCACGCAAATTTCAGCATTGCATTGCTCAACGCTGCAAACACGTGTTATAGCCTAAATAGAAACTCTGCAT